AGGGCCCGGGGTCTGGGCGAGGCTTGGCTCTCGCGCCGGCGCGGCTTGGCCACCGCCGGGGCCGCCGGTCGTGGCTTGTGGCGGCTCGGGCGACGGGGTCCGCGACGGGGTCCTGACGGCCGAGCTCAGGGGCGACGGCGGCGTCGGCGGCGTCATCTCGTGCTCTTGGGCTAGCGAGGCGCCGGCGTGTTGAAGCGTTGGCGATGGCGCGGCAGGGGTTGTTGGTAGGACTGATGGCGTTCCTGGCGCTGGTGCCGTTGCTGGTAACATCTTGTCTGCCTCTGTCATTAGAACTTGCTTCTTTTTTTTTGCATCTAAAAAGCCAAGAAGGCTCGCCATCGAAAATAAGAAAACGGCGGCCATGTCACTGTTAGAGACACTGTTGAAGATAGTGATCAATTCCAAGCACCGCCTCCTTTCTCATGCAAGGCCACCCGCCCCAAACTTTTGCCGAGATTGCGTGAAGTGGACCAAGACACCATTTTGTGCATGGCTTCCAAAACTGGGTGTTGCTGCCTGCGTTGGGTGACATGCCCAAAACCAATCCCACCAGGCAGCAGCATACTGTCTTACCGAATTCGTAAACATCAAAAGACCTAGGGAGTCAAAGATTCGATTCGTTCCGAGGCCGAAAATGCCTGCCTATGCTATAAGACTAAACGAACCAGACGCCAAGGAAAAGCAGAAATCAAGAAGCAAAAATTAGAAAAGGCAAAGCAAAAACAAGAGCCAAGAAAAAAAAACCCAAAAGCAGAGCTAAACAAAGCTAAATCCCACACGCAGACGGCAAACGCACACGAAACAAGCAAGAAGAGCAAAACCGCAGCCACCACCCCTAGGGTTGTTCCTTCAACCAGAGCCGCTCCGGCCGAGCCAACCCGAAGGCGTCGGCCAGTCCGGCCGCCCGGGTCTCTAGGTCCGGACCCTGGGGTTGTAGGCGGGCGCGATGCCGCCGCCGATCTTGTCGACCGAAACGAAGCGCCTCTCGACCGCGTCGTCGCTGCGCTTAGCAAAGTCGCCGCACCTACTACCCATGCAAGTAGCAACACCGCTTCCAATGCTCTTGTAGCCCCCGCCCGGGCGCTTGGGCTCGCGCTTTTCGACCGCGTTGTCGCTGCGCTTGGGCTCGCGCTTTTCGACCGCGTTGTTGCTGCGCTTAGCAAGGCCGTCGCCGCACCCAGTACTACCCATGCAAGTAGCAACACCGCTTCCAATGCTCTTGTAGCCCCCGCCCGGGCGCTTGAGCCGGCGCTTTTCGACCGCGTTGTTGCTGCGCTTGGGCTCGCGCTTCTCGACCGCGTCGTTGCTGCGCTTAGCAATGCCGTCGGTGCACTGAATACTCATGCAAGTAGCAACACCGCTTCCAATGCTCTTGTGGCTCCTGCCCGGGCGCTTGCGCTGGCGCTTCTCGACCTCGGGGGCGCGGTAGGCGCGCGCCTCGAGAGCGCCCTCGGCGCCCGTGACGGACAGGTGGTTCGGCGAGGGGGTGGGCTCGCGCTTTTCGACCTGGGCGTCGCCGAGGCGCCCATGGGTCGGGGCGGCCACGGCCAAGCTGGCGAGGCAGATGGCGTGCCAAAGCTGCATAGTTGCTGAGGGAAAGAGAAGAAGAAGAAAAGACAAAAGGAAAAAAGACAAAAGGAAAAAAAGACAAAAGGAAAAGGCGAGGACTGAATTGAGATAGCTGGTGGGCTGATGAAGCAGGAAACAATCACATCATGGAAGCAAGCGGGAGACTGTGGTTATATACACCTCTTGTCTCTTGAAAGCAAGCACCGGCCGGGGCAGCTTTACAGGTTGCCTCTTTTGGCATTGGATCCATCCAAGCTTTTTGACGCTTTTAGCAGCCTCGAGTCAACGCGTCCAAGCGCCTGTTGGGACGGGCTGGGGGTAGTCTGGGATATGTGGGTGTGTGCAGGGCTGATTCCACGCAACGGTCGTAAAAATAGCACGTTTGGCTTTGACGGCCAATTGCCGTGCCGCGCCGACAACATGTTTGAAACGAACGGGCCCAATGATACCCGCCAAGAACGGAGGGCGCCTGAGTGCACGTTGAGGAGGCTGGTGGCGAGATGGCGGTCATCACACCCTATGCAACCAAAGCCAAGGCATCCAAGGCAGGAAACCCGCGGACCGCATAGCCTACCGCAGCTCAAAGATGGTGTCGCACCGCAGCTTGTCCCTGAAGTGGTCCCACCCGTCCGCCTCGGCCTGCTGCTCCGGGTCCGCCTCGGCTCGCCTCCGCAGCCACTCGGGCGCCCTCCTCGCGTCCTTGACGGGATATACCCTGGGCTTCATGCTCCTCTCGAGGTCCTCCCACTCCTGCAGCATGGCCACGTACTTGTCCTTTCGCTTCCGGTGGTACTCTGTGCGTTTGGCGATCACCTCCTGCACGTCCTTGGCCTTGTCCCTGAGCTCCTCCGGCACCCCGTACACCCCCTGCCTCCCCTCCGGTTCTTTGCCCTTGCCCGCCGCCGGCTTCTGCTCCTTGCGGAAGAGGTCGAACTGGTCCCGCCTCTCGATCTCGGCCTCCTCCGAGTCCGCCTTGCGGGACATGGCCTCGCCGTCCATCATGCCGTGGATGTAGCACTCGCCCAGGAACTTGTAGTAGACCTTGCGCGGCACCCTCGGTGCCCTTAGAAAGTCGTCGACCTTGTCCTTGCTCCGGGCGTCCTCCTCCCGTTTGTCCGTGCTTTCCTGTGCGCTGGTGCGTTCGCGGCTGCTCCCCTGGTCGGAGTTTCCTGGCACCCCCTCCTCCGGTTTCCCCTTCTTCGGTTTCCCCTTCTTCGGTTTCGTGTTGTATTCCCGCTGCCATTCCCTGACTTGCTTCTTTGTACATTTTGGTGTCCCATCGGGCCCAACCCAGCGAACCTCTTCGGACTTTGTCTCCTTGGCTCCCTCTTCGGGCTTTGTCTCCTTGGCTCCCTCTTCAGGCTTTGTCTCATTGGCTCCCGTCCGGGCTCTTGGAGGCCTCTGCTTCCAATCCGGCTGGGGGTCCTCGGGGATGGCATTGAATTTAGTCCTGCGCCTCTTGTTGCTCTGCATCGTCGCCATGCCGCGCCGCATGACCTTCTCGGTCTCCCGCATCATCTCCTCCTCCCCGCTGTCCTCGTCCTGCTCGTCCTTGGGCTTTTGGGTCTCGCGAAGTATGACGGGGACGCTGCAGCCGTAGAGGATGCACACGAGGTCCCCCTTCCTAACGCCCTTGGCCGTGATGCCGAGGTTCCCGTGGTCCGTCTTGACCATCAGCCGGTTCCAGATGACGGCCTGGACGCGCCGGCAGAACTGGGCGACGATGGAGTTGCGCTCGTTGTTGATGAGGTCCGACGTGTTGACGGACCCGCTCTGCAGGCCGCCCTTGTACACCGACTCCTTACACGCCTTTTTGTAGTAGTAGGGCGGGTTCCGGCTGTTCCTCCCCCTGTCGGCCACGAGCGTGCGCCAGAACTCGTCCGGGGGCCCGCTGTCGCTTTCCGGGTCGCCAAAGTTCTTGATCTTCCACCCCGCCATGCTCAGCCACTCCTGCGGTATGTTCCCGGACTGCGAAGGGTGCGTAGTGGCCTTGACCTCCTCGAGCACGAAGCCCTTGATGAACATGGAGTGCGTCCCGAACCGGCGGCTCTTGCGGAACTCGAGCGTGTCCATGTCCACCTCGATCCCCTGCACCGCGTCGTAGTTGCGCACCGAGCTGGGGAAGCCGACCAGGGGATCCGCGTTCTTGCGGCCCATCTTCATGATGTGCACGCCCGCCTGGTTGTGCATGGCGAATGGCGCGCCCGCCAGCCTGGGTATCCAGGAGGGCAGCTTGGCCGCCTCCTCGTCGTCTTCGGCCTCGTGCTTGCTGTGCGGGTCCTTCCTGGGGAAGTACTTTTTCCATGGCGGGTTGAAGAACTCGTCTCTGGCGCGGGGTCCTCTTTTTGAATCCTTAGCCTTTTCCTTGTGTTTATCCCATGCGGCTTTCCGGATACTCTTGATCTTCTTGCCGTGGTCTCTCCAGTACTCGATCAACGCCCCGTTTCGCTGGTTCTGCTGCCCAGCAGGGCGGGTGGATCGTATCGAAGAGCCGGGCTTGGGCTCGGGCGCCCAGGGCCGACATATAATGTCCATTGCTCGAGTCCTGTCCGTCCTCTCGCGCGTCCACCCCTTTCGCTCGGCCCTGGAGTCGTCGTTTGGCTTCTTGATGCAGAACTCGATGAAGTTCTGGCACACGTCCGCGTAGGATCGCCCGTAGTCGACGGGGAACGCCTTTTGCCGCTGCTGGCCGGCCGGGCTGCCCAGGTACGCGTGCATCGAGCTCAGGGTATCGCCCCCCGACCCTTGGGCGGCCGGATAGCCGTCATTCGCGATGGCCAGGAGCGCGTAGATGGCGTCGCGGGGCTCGGTGGCCTCGAAGATGGACAGCCGGGAGACGAGGTACTCGAGGCTGAGCAGGGGCCGCCGCTGGGAGATGGGGTCCTCGGGCGTGTGGGGCTCCTTCACGTCCGTCTGTCCCTGGGAATTGCCCGCGCCAGGCGTGCCAGGCGTTCCAGGCGTGCTTGCTAAGTGCTCGGGCATGCCCCGCTGCTGGTCTGGCCCCTCGTCGTCTGATTCGGGAATTTCATGGATGTCGTACTGCAGCTCGGAGCTTTCGGCGCCCGAATCCGACTCCCCGGGAGATTCCGCTCGCTGTTTCTTGATGTCGGCGTCTGCTGCCTCCTCGATCGCGGGTAGACCCTTCGGGGCTGCCTTGGACTTGTAGTAGCGGAAGATCATACCCGTGGCCTCGACGAGCAGGCTCGCCCCGAGGGCGCTCACGTATTCGAACCAGCCCGGGACGTGATAAAAGTTGGGGTCCTTCTTCATGACCTCGCTCAGCCGGTGCGTCGCCGTCTCGACCTCGACAAACAGCTCGACCGCCACCGAGAAGTCCTTCCAGTCGATCTGGTCCGGGCCGCAGTAGATGGTGGCCTGCCGGGCCAGCGCGATCTCCTGGACCACCCACCGGCGGAAGAACCACTGCTTCTGCATCAGCAGCAGCAGGCTCCGCCACTTCTGCGAGTTCTCCGAGTTCTGGCAGAGGTCGTCGAACTGCTCGAGCTGGAGGATCTCCTCCCGGATGAACTTGATGGCCATGTGCGTGTTGGAGTCGTCCAGGCCCAGCCAGATGCAGACGCTGCTAGCGTAGCTATAGATCTGGCTCATCATCTGGACCTGGTGGTTCTTCTCCTCCACGTTCCCCTGATCGATGCACAGCGCGTCGATCCAGAGCACCCGGTCCCTGTTTGGGTACCGCAGGAACCGGAGAGCCCACACCAGGTCCGGGGACGCCTTCTTCTCGTACCGCTCGTCGCCCTCGCGGATCAGTGTCTGGTATATGGGCTTCCGGGTCCCCCAGGACCAAGAGAGAGCTTCGTAAGAAATAATCTCCTCCTTCAGGGCAGCGCCGTTCTCCACGCGCAGCACCTGGCCCTGGCTGATCTCGCCCTCAAACAGCCGGCACTCGACCTCGTTGGTCTCTTTAGCCCCAGAGTTGAGAGTGAGCAGGCGAATGCGCTTGTGCATGTTGCTCAGCTTTTTGTAGCTGAACTTCTTCACGTTGGGGTCACCGAACTTGGGGAGTTGCTCGTGTCTCATCTCCAGGTCCATCTCATGGTGTATCCCAAGCTCCCGGAAGGGGTTTTCAGGGTTGTCTTGAAAGTGACCTTTGGCCAGCGGGTCCAAGACGGGAGGTGACATGTTTTGGGTTTCGTAGAGGATACTGTTCCTTTTTTTTTTTTTTTACAGTATAAGAAGTGCGGGAAAACTGAGCAAGGAGTAGTGCCGCATAAGGGAATCTGAAGATCCAACCGGAAATTTATTTTCGACGTCCAGTGTCAAGAGGATAGATTTTGGAAATACTGACTGGATGCCCGGGAGAGATGCTGGTGAAACTGACATTCTTAAGGCTTCTAAATGCAACTTCGCGCCGTATTCATACCACTGATTGCTGACGGTGTCTTCTTCAAATGGGGGAAGGCTGAAGAATGAAGCATTCGACAGGATCACATCTCGTACCGCCTTGGGGGCGGGTCTGGAACCGATGTGGCGTCGGGGCTGCTAGAGATGCTGCGCTCCAAGTATCGCCACGTCGCTGTCCGGACGCGGGGTTGCTCCGTGTCGCATGAAGCATGCAAGCCACTGTGACAGGAAGTCCGAATCGAGAGGAACTATTGGCACACACATATATTGAGTGGCTGTCGCTTCATGCAGCTGGCTTTCGTGGCATACGCGAATGGCGCCCATCGCGGCAGCGCGGACTACGTGGATTACCAGCACCTATGGCAAGTTAGATCCAGAAATGACAAAATCGGGGTTTCTTTTATTTTATTGCGCATATTCGACTCTCCATTCAGCGCGCCCGTCCATCGGAACGACCCATGCTCGGCAAGGGAACCATTCAAGCGTTTATTTCTTTCTCCACACCTCGAGGAGGCATCCGTCAAGGTCATCGTACTGGTTCCCGTCGGCAGGGCCCCTGGCGCTGGCTTGGAAGCGCTTCTCCAGGTACTCATCGTTGATGGCAGCCGCGGCAAAGAGGCGCTTGTTTTGGAGGTCGGGATCGGCGCCTTTCTTGGTGCTGTAAAAGTACATCTAGCAGAGGACCATCTCGGGGAAGGGCTTACTCTCGTACTCAAAGACCTCGTTGTCCTTGAGCTCGGTGAAGGTCTTGGAATGAGCCTCGTAGGCGGCGCGGCCGAGGACAACGAATGGATGCTTATCGAGGAAGGCCTTGATCTCGGGGCGCTTTTCCAGCACGGCTTGGATCTCTGGCTGTGCGAGATACTCCTCGCCGGTGGGGACTGGGGCAGACATGGCGTGGAATGTGAGTTGCGCTGGAGATGGCGAGCGATTTTACGAGCGAGGAGGAGGGTAGATAGAGTGGCGTCAAGGTATCTAGTGTAGTTGGTGGCAGGCAGGCCGTTGTTGAGTGCGAGCAGAAGAGCCAGCGGGGTTGGTGAAGCCCGGAAGCGCTCGCCCTTTTATTGAGGGCTGGGCTTGTCGCAGCGGCACGATGCGCGTGTGCGCCGCGCAGCCCTCAGCCCTCAGCCCTCAGGTGCAGCGCGACCTTGACCATGAGGCGTGGTTGTTGGCGCAGAACGATGGGGGCCTTGCCCAAAAGGGCAGTCATCAAATGCTACACGACCAGCCGGCACCAGCTAATGCCCCACCCCCGCGCATCACATACAGTTCATGTTACCTACCATGCCGCGTGCGGAGGTACCCTGTTGGGCGGTGGCAAGATTGTTGAGCAGCATCAACCCATCGGCCAGAGGAACGAGGCGGAGTCCAATTTGGTATTCAGCACAACACGAAAGAGTAAAAGCAAGACCGTGAACCAACCGGACTGCTCCATTGCCGAATACCATGTTTACCAAGTGAGCACATAGCACAGGTAAAGGGCCACGCAGCGAACGACAATCCTTCATGGGATGGGCTTACCATCCTGGAAATCAACTGAGGAGCAATGCGAAGCTCGCTCACACAACCTCTGACGTCGATCCTTGGACAGGAGCGCAAGCACATGAGGAGGTTTGAACTCTAGAAGGAAGGGTGATATCGATGCGTACGGCGAGTTTACCGACTAGGTTCATGATGCTGAGGAGACTGTTGGCAGTCAAGACGAGTTCGTCGGCGGGCCGCGTAGGCGACAACAACTAGTGGCTGTCGGTGACTGGAGTCGCGGCGCTTATTGCCGCTCTGCAGCCGCTTTTGTAAAACCCGAGAAGAAGAGTGGTTGTTTTGTCCCACAAACGTGCTACATGCTGGATGACAACCACGCTGCCTGATTACCTTCTGGAAAAAGAGAGTAATCCTCCACTACCCACAACCTTCTTCTTCAAATCAGGGTACGCACGGCGCCAAGCTTCTTCCCAGACGGCCATACTGCCTTGAGCGGACTCCGCTTCGACCTGCGGGTCGGTCTGGGTCAAGGCCGTCGCTGGCCTTATCGACACAAGCAATTCCTTCCTTCTCTCCAGGATGATGGCCAGATTGGTGATGATAGTGCTGTACTGGTTGACCTCGGGCATTTCTAGGTCGTCGGTGTGCTGGCGAGAGTAATAATGCTTCAGCGTGGCGTCATCGGGGTATCTTGTCACAACCTGGACCATGTCCCACATCAGGCCGTGGTCTCTGGGATCTCTGGGCTCCAAAGACAGCAGGGCGGTGGCCGCGGCCAGACGAAAGTCGGGCTCGAACAGGTCGACGAGGCGCCCTAGGTCGACAGGCAACCGCGGGGAGAGCGGTACGTCGGACCATTTCATCCAGTCGTCCGCCAACCATTTCGTCCGCTCGTTCAGCACCCGTCTCGCCAATTGCAGCTCCTTGTCGTGCGCGTCCAGCTCCGGAAGCAGCCACAGCAGGCCGCGGTCCTCCAGGTCTGAGAGTGAGACGATGCAGGATTTGCCGTCGATTCCAAGTGCCCCCTGCGAGAGGAACTCGCCAAAGTACAAGCCCTGAGTGCGGAGATCCAGGAGCGAAGTAAGGGTTTTCCCGTCGCCAGAAACACGTTGTTCGTATGTCGGCAGGTAGTGCTTGTACGCCCCGATCAGGTAAATGTCGCGGACAAAGACCCCCTTCGGAAATTTCTGTGTGTTGACCATGCAGAGCCTGATACACTCAGATGGGGTCCCCTGTTGTTTGTTGCAAAAGGCAAACTTGAGCGCGAAGAGAAGTGACGTCGTCCATGAGACAAAGTTGCTGTGCCCGGGTTCCGTGTCCAACCACCAGAGATGCCGGTTGAGGGCAGCCGCAACCTCTTCATTGCTGCGGGGACCCAACCCTAGTCGGCTACTTTCATAGTTGTCAGGGCTGGAAGCATCCCTCGAAAGCGCCCAGCCGCCACCTAGCCGAGCGAAAGACTTCGGATGGGAGACTCGGAAGAGAAAAGGGGGCAGATCGTCATAGGCGGTTTTGGCGTTCCAGTGTAGCGGGATCGAGAAAAAGGAAAGCGGCTTGGGTGGTACAGAAAGCGGTTCGGGTGGTGCAGGCAGTGCCAGACTTGCAAACGCCGAAGCAGATATGTTGTCCGTTTGATTCATTCTCAATGATCTGAGCTGGCCAGGCTAACGATGCGGCTGTCGGTGGTTTCTCTCTGACTATCGTGTGCGGGATAGAAAATAGAAAAGGCCGGCAAAAGGGGTGGGGAGAATCGGAGGGCCGATGGGTGCTATGTGAAGAAAAGACAAAGATGGCCACAACCCCGCAATCGCTGATGTGGTGCGAATATGCCTGGTCGGAGGTTACATGTACCCAGCCACGAACTGATGGCCCAGGCCTGCTACCAGGCAGAACGCTGTTGGTCGCAGAATTGGACGGCCTCCTGCATGACATATGCATCCAAAGGTAGAACGAGTTCGCCCAAGGCAGTATCCATTCGTTGGGCTTGGTTTCAGGCAGCAGCAACTTGAAAATGGTCTGCTGCACAAGTGCTATGCAGTTGCAGCAACCTTCTCAGCGAGCATCTTAAATTTAAGCAAACTTTTAGTAAACTACATTACTCATCAATTGAGACAGCCAAGAGTTATCATGTACTCTACCTAGGTAGGTATCTTTAGCCAGTCTTGAACCAAGATCCTCCTCGCTACCTAAGCAATGAGATTCCTCCTGCGGCGGCACTTGACAGGGCCGTTGGTCTCGAGCACAGCAATGCTGAGCTCGGGCAGGCTGAACTTGAAGACGCCGCCATCCCCAGCCGTCAGCTGGATGGAGGTGCTGTTGACGATGTTGACGCCCGTGTGGGGGTCGTTCCAGCGCATCGGGTCGTCGGGGCCGGTGAGCACGCGAAGGGTGGCCTCGGCGCCCTTGGCGACGCCCTGGAAGTCGATCGAGATGGGGACCTCGGCCGAGTTGGTGGTGTTGTAGACAGCACCTTTCCAGATGCGGGAGCCAGCGGGCCCGGCACCGGCGACATAGTAAACCGGACCGAGGTCCTGGGTCGCTGGGAGGGTCTCGGCAATGGGGTGCGCCGCCATCAACTCCCACGCATACCAGCTGGTCGAGCGCGTGGTCATAGCGGGGTCGGCAGCGTGCTGGAGGAGCGTAACGGCCCAGGCCCAGCTGTTCATGTTGCGCATCACGGGGGCCTATAGAAAGATACGTCTAAGTACTCTCATCGGTAGGGGGCAGTGGGATTCCTAGATACCAGGTACGGGTAGGTTGACTCACGTAGAAAGTGCCGGGAATGCGATCAGCGTTGCGCTCGTAGCTTATCAAGGCGATGGCCTCGCCAACAGTGCCGATCCACCAAGGGAAGTAGTTGAGGTTGCCATCCCAGCCGATGCCACCGTTCACGTGAGTGGCCGCAACCTCGCCTGCGGAGAGGGGTGGGCTTGGTTAGAATCCAAGGACCAAGGGGACATAAAATCAACGTGTTGGGTGCATACCAATGATGTGAGGGATGGGGTCGTTGTCGAACTTGTTGAACTCGTCAACGACCAGCTGATCAGGCTTCCGGTACGGGTGGTAGTCACCCAGGGAGCGGTGGTGACCAGTGCCTGAGGGAATGACAAAGTGGCCATCACTGCCGTCCGAGGTGGCGCTGGACGCGATGACGGTAATATCGGGGTACCGGGCGTTGATGGCCTCGAGGAACATGGGGAAGCGGTACTGGACGTACGACTCCCATCCCGCACGGCCGCCGGCAAGCCAGTCTTCGTTTCCGACCTCGACATACGTAAGCTCAAAGGGCTCTGGGTGGCCCAGCTCCGCCCGGCGCTTGCCCCACTTGGAGTCGATAGGGCCTCGGATGAACTCGATCTGGTCCAGAGCATCGTCGATGAAGTGCTGGAGCTTGTCGCGCGGGGTGATGCCGCCGTCCAGCGCAAGGCCAGCAAAGACACCGAGCACTGTTTCGGTATTTCCGTGTCAGTCCTAGGATCTGTCGAGGCTGACTATATGGAACCGTGAATGCCTACCCATCTTCATCTTCATGTCCTCTGCCCATTCGAGATACTCGACGAGGCCGAGACCCATGGTGGTCTCGTAGCCCCAAGGGCCGGGATGACCCTTGCGGTCTTTGAGTGGGCCGATCGTGTCCTTCCAATCCCACCACGAGTCGTTCCTTGGCCCTTCGAGCATGTTGCCGCCAGGGAAGCGGAAAAAACTCTGTAGGCACACAGCGTAGATAGCGATATGGTTAGCTACGGAGCAATCGTGGATTCTGAAGGGGGGAGCTTGTCAAGAGGGTAAACGCACCGGGTGCAGCTGCTCAAGCGCCTCAGCAAGGTCGGTGCGCAGGCCATTCTTACGCCCCTTGTAAGTAGGCGGGAACATGCTGATCAAATTGAAGTCGAGCGAATCGCCCTTGAGCCCAGCGCGATCAAAGGTGATAGCAAAGGTGTTGTTGCTGCTGGGGGCGTCCTTCCCGGGGACCAGGACGACCTCGTGCTCAACCCACTCGTCGCTCTTGGCCTTGGACTCGATCTCGACTGAGCCGAAGACGTCGTCGGTAAGAGCGGACTGGAACGATGCGACAAACTTGCCCTCGTAGTCACCCTTGACCCAGAAGGAGCCCGTGTACTTCTGTTTCTTGACATGCATGCCCCAGAATCCCTCGTTGAGGAAACCGCTGCGTTCAGGGCCGCCCTCGAGGGGCGGGACGACGCGCATAGACACGGGCAGGGCATCCGACAGCGGGACGCTGAGGTTTCGAAGGGAGAGGGCGGCATTGATGGGCTTCCACGAGTTGAGCGTGCGAGGATGGAGCCAGCTGCCCTGGAAGGCGCGGTTGCGGATCAGCTCGGCGTAGATACCTCCGTCGCCCGAGTAGTTGATGTCCTCGTGCAAGAAGCCGTACTGGTGCATGCTGGTCTTGTTGCCGCCCGATGCCTTGACTGACACCTCGAGCGCGGTAGCCGAGGAGACGGCGAGGGCGGCGGCGAGTAGGCCGGCTACGGAGAAGGCCACCATGGTTGCTGCTGCGTCGGGGGTAGCTGCGGGTGGGTTTGGGACGTTGGAGACGGTTGAACCGTATCCGCGGGTCTGCCCTCCCACTTACAGCACCGGCGAGCAGCAGCCTGGACTCAGCCCATTTATACCGGCGCCAGCTGCCCAGACAACAGCGGTCCCTCTCGTGCCATTACTCCAAGAAACCCCATAATTTCTGACAAGCCTCCAAGTGGGAGGACGCATACCGGCTAAAATGCCTTCTCCGTTTTTGCCATGGCGGTCTGAGGAGGCGATGGGGATTGCGGGACCGAGGCTAGCAAAAGCAGGCCCGGTTGGAGTGGTGATGCAAGGCACGGCGGGTGGTGACAGGCCCTGGTCGCGACCCGATATTGCCAGTGCCGAACTGGCGAATCGCGTGACAGGCCATGGACAAGCTGGGCGGGAGAGGGAGTTGGAGTTGCATCGTGCCTGGTGGCACTGCGGATGGCGTCGCTTGCGAAGCTGCGTCCAAGATGGACCTCCAGCGGCCCAGGGCCGACGACCAAGCCCGCGTGGCTCGTCCCATTGGAGCGGCTGTTTGCTAGTGGTGCACCGGGAAGAGGAGGCTAATCATGATTGACGGATCCTCGGGCTTCTCCAGATCGTGGTGCGGGGAGAGCCCAAGCACGCCAGGCCCAAGCCAAGTCGCCCCCTCACAGCCGTCGTATTGCCAGGGTGCCTTCCCCGCATGGGTCTGGGGGAGAAGAGAGATGAGCAGGTGAAGCCATTTGTGATCTCCAAAGGTCGTCCGGCAAATCAATGAGTTAGTGGTTGCGTGAGAGGGCAGAGTTGACAAGACCAGACAGGAAGGATGAAATGTGTGAATGTTTCCAAAGACGACGGATCGCTGCCGCTGCCTTTTTCTCCAAAGTTCAGACGAACAGGCTGCGATCCTAGATCCTTCTAATTTGGGCCAGGTACTTGTGCAACCCTAACCCGCCCAGCCGGGAGATGGGCGGTTGAATAAAACTGCTCCTGCCATGGAACCCCGCTTGGGCGAAAATGCTGTATGATGCGAGATCGGCAGCGATAGTCACGTGAGCTACGCGAATACAGTCACATGATGATGCAAAGGTCGCAGGCTGCATTTCGGGGCACGTGGCAGCCGCGTGAGATATCCGGACTTCTGCTACACATTTGACCTTTTTCGATACTCGTTTTTCTTCGCTCTAACCAAGTCTGAATGTGCTAACCGTTCCACTGTTTTGAACTGGCTGCCTCAACGGATTCTCCCCCCAGTCCGCCTCCTCAGCCAAGGAGATTGTCCCTCGATATTCCTGGCCTGTTCGCCGCCCGCCGTTTATCCACCACGACAGCCCCGTAGCCAAGATTGCATTCGCCCCCATAGCAGCCCCCACCAACCCCGTAGCGCGCGATGTGCACAAGCATTTGCGGGCCGTGATCCTTGACCGGCTGCTACCCAGCGGATGCCTATCTTAACCTAAACGGAATTTTATGTATGAACTCGACCGACGTCCACACACGTCAAGTTAAAGTTCGGGAACATGAAGGCTTGAAGAGTTGAGTCGTGGCTTCCACCCCCTTACTTACCAGCCAGTGCCAGATCTGCCGGGAATCTCACGCAGAGTGGAGGCCATGCTTGTCGCCCGAACTGTCCGCAAAAATGGGGCGAGCTGCATGCGAGTAACAAGCATGCTCGGCTGCAATTCCGACTGCCCTTTCGATCCTACGATCCATGTTTGGTATTCTTGCTTCATAAATGGCATTCCACCACTTCTTTCATGCGCTGGACATCTCCAACTTCGCAAAGGGGCTGCGGCTGTTCCGCCCGAGATGCGTCAGCCCGCTAGGTAGGAATAGCCGCTTATTATCACATATTTCCCCTTTTATTCCCTCAACTACCCTTCGAAACAAAAAGAAAAAAGAAAAAAAAGGAAGAATATCCAGAATTTATTCTTGATGAAAAAAGCTGATTGGCCTACTAGCGCTGGTCCGCGACAGGGGCGCTAGGGCCCGGGCCGCCAGTGCCCGGGCCTCTAATGGCACAAAAGGGGATAGGGCCTCCTGCCAGGCACGCGTGGCACGCCAGGGCTCTGTTATTCGAACGAACACCAATGGTCTAGCGCCATCTCTACGCACCAGTAGACGCGCCGCAAGACCCTGTTAGGCACCCAGCTACCTGTGCCGACCAGCCGGACATGTGCGTCATGCCCATCCATCATGGGTCCATCAAGGGCCAAAAGCCTGGAACGGGGCTGGCTGGACTTGCTCAGCTCCTCGGCTGCACCTCCCTTGCGTTCGCAGAGCCACTGGATGGATTCCCTTCGTCAAGTCGGATCCAGCCAGCAACCAATATCTCGCGTGTGACCGCATAATTGTAACCGCGTAATCCTTCCTTCTAGGCCGTGATATGTGCTTAGTCGCCGCAGCGTGCCGTTCCACGCCAGCTTGCGCGTGAAGTCGAGCGCCACGTTGAGCGACCGGTGGCAGAGCGCCGCTATCACGCCAAGAGACCGAGCCAGAAGCAAGCAGTGGTCGAGGGATTTTGGCCCAGAGAATATGACGCGATAGCGGCCCGCCCATCTGAACACCTTCTTGGGAACCATCCTGCCATCCTACCCACTCGCAGCGGGAGTCCTTACTATACCACTTCGCTCGAAAGGAAGACCAAAGGGCAGCCTGCTTGGCAATGGCACACCTGACAAATGCCTTGTCACATTTCTCACTGGAGTGTGGATCTTCAGCTGGTTCCCAAACAAGGCTAGACTTTTTCCCATTCGTATAAGACGTTCGGTTACGGCTCTCCCAGAGAGATGGGACAGAGCACGCACTTTTTCCGTCACGTCTCATATAACCTTTTGCGCGCCTCGCTGAACTCACTGTTACCCAACCCTTTATCGCAAATGTTCCTGGAAATCATTCAGGTTCCGCTTTGGGTCTTTTTGGCCCTCCCTGTCATTGCCCATGTAGCGCGTAGCTGGATCTCCTCTTGGCGCCAGGGCAGCCGCTCCAAGCTTCCCCTCCCGCCCGGCCCGAAGCCCGTTCCGCTCCTCGGCAACATCAACGACCTCCCCAAGCCAGGCGTGATCGAGTATACCCACTGGCTGACCCACAGGGAAAAGTATGGGCCGATCAGCTGCGTCACCATCTTGGGCAACACCCTGGTCCTCGCCAACGAGCTCGACGTGGCGCTGGACCTGCTCGAGCACAAGGGGAACTCTTCCAAGACGTCGGGCCGCCCGATCATGCCCTTCGCGCAGGATCTGGTCGGGTACGAAAACTCGGTCGTCTTTGGAGGCTACAACGACGACTTCCGCCGGAAACGTGCGCTGCTCCATAGCGCCATCGGCACCGCAGCGTCCGCGGAGCATTACCGCAAATGCCAGGAGATCGAGTCGGTCCGCCAGCTCGAGCGGATTCTGGACGATCCCAAGAATGTGCTGGAGCATTATAAGAGGTAAGAAGGAACTCAGGAGGGAGGCTAACATGAAACAGGGCCACGGGCAAAATCACTGACATCTCGTCTTCAGAGCTTCCTCGGTCACCATACTCAAGACAGTATATGGCTACAGCGTCAATCCCTCTGGGCCGGACCCGGTGCTCAACAGTGCCCTGCAGGCCATGAAGGAGTTCTCCGAGGTCGTGAAGCCGTTCTCCTGGGCCGTGGACCTGTTCCCCTCGCTAAAGCACATCCCCGACTGGGCCCCCGGCGCCTCGTTCAAGAAGAAGGCCCGGGCGTACAGGCGGACGCTGACGGACATGGCGCACATCCCCTACCGCTTCGTGCAGCACCAGCTCGCGAGCGGCGTCGACAGCGGCTGCACCATGTCGCGCCTGATCCAAAATTCGTCCGAGGCCGCTGCCGCCGGCGGGGATGACGACGAGAGGCTGATCGTGTGGGCGGCGGGCAGCCTGTTCGGGGCGGCCGTCGACACGGCGTCGGTGTCGCTGGCGGCCTTCACGCTGGCAATGCTCAAGCACCCCGAGGCGCAGCGCGCCGCGCAGGCCGAGATCGACCGCGTCGTCGCCGTCGGGCCCCTCGGGCGGCGGCGGCTGCCGACGTCGGCCGACCGCGCCGCCCTGCCCTACGTCGATGCCGTCGTCAAGGAGACGCTGCGCTGGTGGAGCGTCTTCCCCATGGGCATCCCGCACCGCGCCGACGAGGAGGTCGAGTACCGCGGCTACCGCATCCCCGAGGGTGCCAGCGTGTTGCCTGCCGTTTGGTGGTTCATGCACGACCCCGCCGTCTACCGGGACCCCGACCGCTTCGATCCGGCGAGGTTTACAGACCCGGCTCGAAACGAGCCGGACCCTACGAAAAGCGGTGTGTACGGGTTTGGGCGCAGGGCCTGTCCTGGCCGTCACTTTGCCAACAACCTCCTGTTTGTCAACATTGCCCAAATATTGGCGAGCTTTAACATTGTTAGACTGACAGCGGGAGAAGGGCGGGAGTCGGATGGTGTGGACGGTCTGCATCCGACGCCTGGTCCTGTCATGTGAGTACTGCTCTAAACACCCCCAAGGTCCTCGCGGTTTCCTAGCCACTTTTCCAAACGTTGTTTCTGGACGGGGCAAGAACTGATCCAAACACATGCAGGTACATAAAAGACTTCAAGTTCCACATCTCGCCCAGGAGCCCAGAGCACGAAGACCTAATAAAGCGGATGGCGCGCGAGAACCCGGTGCAGCCTGGGGGCGATTCTTCCATTATTGCGAGCATGGCCTAGACAAATCCCTATCAGCTACTTTCACCAATTGTCCGTTATTCCGCCACGTCGTGCTCCCGCTTAGTTGACTGAGATCCTGAGCCTGTTCTCGAACTCATCACTGTCTTCTGCTCGTTCAACGAGATGATTATGGACGACAGGACCAGAAACTCGAAACCCATCTCGCGTCGCTCCTCGACCAGTCCCTGGGCGCCGGAGCCCATACACCCCTGGAAAGGCGAGCCATGGAAAAGGCAAAGGCCATGGCTGTAAACTCCACCGAGCGAGCCTGCATCAGTGCGGGGAGCTGCAGCTATGAGTGAGCGGTATGGCCTGGCATCGCGACACAGTCGAAATCAAGGCGCGCCAGCTCCACGCCCAGGTGGCTTTGACGGCAAAGATTGTCGCCGACAGGCCGCTAAAGGCCTTGGACCTCGAGAACCATGGGCCGTCCGAGCCGTCCGGAGATATGGCAAGCGACTGCGGCTTAACTGGGAGACGTAGATTTTTCGTCTAGCCGAGACTCTTGCCTGGGAGCCTGTGCTGTCTGCAGAGCTGGACCATAAGCACTTTGGGGGTGTATGCACTCCAGAATGCTATTGCATAGGGTCTGATGTTCGGTGTATACCGCTACCTCGCAGGGTCGGGGCAGCATCGTAGGAGCAAGGTATGAACGAGACTTGAGGGCGGCTTCCGAGCAACAGGCTGTTTAAAAGAAGTCACGCTCATTATCAGAGAATGATATTTCTAGGCACTTGACTAAAGGCTCCTCTGGTAAACTGTCAAACGTTCAACATGACATTATTCTCACGTATCGAGCGACTCATCTATGCCGCACATTTAGTCGACCCGACTTCAACCTACACACGGGATTGCAGGATGAGGCTAAAGATTCAAAGTATATGCTATTATCTAAAGACAAGTCAACCCAAGATTGGGGATTCCTCCAACTTACATGTGAGTCCCTTGTCATGGATTGTTACTCCCGTATAAATACTATGCTGTGGCCTACCGCAGCTAGTGGAGGAGTTGGATACATGAAACCCTTGGAATCATCGGCAACCCAGGTAGTTCCGCCGAGTACCACTACTTGGTGATGGGACTCGGGCTTGGAGACCTGTAAATTAGCGTGTTGGCAGCCGGCAAGCACCGTGCAGGCCGACCACAAAAGATGAGCACGCGGAACCTCGTCCGCGCGACGGCGCAGTACATCTACGCGGCGGTGCGCATGAACCTGGAGCAAGCGCTGCGACGGCACCGGCGGTGCATGGCGGCTGACGCGTACGTGCGCATCCTGACCAGCGATCCGCTGTTAAGCCTACCGGGCGCCATCGAGGAGCTCATCGGGACCACGGTCGGCGGTGACGACGACGGCGACGGCGACGACGCGCGCCTGTCGGCTGCGTCGCTCGACCCCAAGGCCGACCAGATCCGCGCGCGCGTGTGCATGCTGCTGCGAAGGGCGATCCACTTGGCCGTAGCGGGGGCAACGATGGCGGACAGGATGGGCCGCGGCGGGAGGAGGAGGAGGGGTGAGGAGGGGGCGCCGCTGCCCGAGAGGCGGCACGCGCTGGCGGACGACGTCGGCGCCTGGACGGTCGAGCATGTGACGCAGCTGATACAGGACAGTGCCGAGTGCATGCTGGGGGAGCTTGAGCATCGGTGCAGGAGGGAGCAGGTCTGGGAATGATGGCTGGTGTTGGCTCTGTGGGTGTTGGTCAGCTTAGTGTTGGTCGAACCATGACTGGAGGCCCATGGCGTCACTGCATGATGGCTTCGCAATTGCTGGGCCAAGGATGCCACTCTAATGTCCTTGTAAGCACAGGCGGGAGGCCATCAAGGTTTGGGACACGATTTCGGATGGGCCCGGGTTGGATGGATGTGACTTTCGGGGAACTCGGGGAGTCCTTTCAGGCCATGTGGTCGTATTCGTAGTTTTGAGGATATCACATTGAAACCAGACTGCCGCATGGCGGGTGACTGTGTGCCCCAGTGGGTGTCATGGTAGCGTGATTAGCGCACTGTGGTCGGCATCAATTTCGATCAGAAGCCAAAACACAAGGCGTCCAACCTGGTCAAATCCAGCTCTGATTGTGTCCAACTCCTACTTCTAGATCAGTAGGTCAAGTGCAGGCCTCTTCTCGATACCAACCATCCAACCACTGCATTCCAAGATGACAGGTTCCAGCACCCCCGCGGGGCTGCCCGACATCAACGCCCTCCCCACCCTGGACGACGCCGCCCTCTTCAACACCCTAGACCTGCTCTTCGAGAAGTCGCCCGACATGCACGCCCTGGCCGGCCCCGTGGCGCGCTCCGGCAAATTCACCTCGTACCTAGGCTTTATCGACGCCGTGCGCGAGGCCCTACTCTCATTACAGCAACAGCAGGACGACGACGCGGCGGCGCGCGCACGGCTGCTCGGCATCCTGGGCGCGCACCCGCGGCTGGGCGAGAAGAAGGTCGACAGCGCGCAGAGCCGGGCCGAGCAGGCCAACCTGCAGCACGGGGCCGGCGCCGCCGAGGCCGAGCGGCTGGCGGCGCTCAACGCCGAGTACGAGGCGCGCTTCCCGGGCCTGCGCTACGTCGTCTTCGTCAACGGCCGCGGGAGGGACGTCGTCATGGCCAACATGCGCGAGCGTATCGACAGGGGCGACGCGCGCGCCGAGGAGAGGGAGGCGATTGAGGTGCGTCCGCGAGATATATTCGCCTGCGTACCATGCCCCCTCCCTGTAGAAACCTAGAGTCTAACAAAGAAGCACGGGTCGCTCTAGGCCATGGTCAGCATCGCCAAGGACAGGGCAGGCAAACATCTGAGTGCAGCGGGCACAGCTTGATAGCCCTTTGGGCGCAGATATCGTCACTTGGGGTCAAGCCGCCGACATGATTAGCGTTTGCAAGTGCCATGACTGGACTAGGTCATCTAGTGTTGTGAGTAGCTTATTTACGATACGGACAGTCTGGCCCCAATGCCTTTTTCAGTATTGCAATATAATTCTCGCCTCAAATTCTACTAATCGCCCACAACCTCTGGAATGCAGTACACGTTGTCAATATAAAGCGTATTGTTCCACCTCCCTCCCCATCCGGAGGCTGAGGGCTGCCGACAACTGGAGGCAGTTGCGGTGTTCCAAGGCCTAGTTAGACATCACGCAATTTATAAGCCCGGCCGTGGCTATTTTCTAGGAACCAGCTCATCGCCTTCGAGTGTAGTGCCATTTTCACACCTTCTGTGTTGCTAGCTGGTCAGAACAAAGGGAAAACCGCCAGCACACGGGCACCGGATCTGAGATACGACCGGCGAACGAGCAGCGGAAGTCCAGGCCCATTTGAGTGTGGGGATAATAGTCCCAATAAATCGGGAATATTGTCTGTGGCTCGCTGCGCTAGCCCCTTCCGTGGCCGTCTTTCAGCTCGGCAAGGGCTTCTCTCCCTGCTGGCCGCCTCAATTCCACGGCTGAACCCTTAGCGGGAACGCCTCCAAGCCCAGCACTTTATGTCAGGGGAAATGCGGTCTAGACCAGTGCCTACCTCTCGGCCTTACAAGACCATCGCCAGCTAAGCAGGATACGAGGTAACGTGATGTAGGGATGGGCGTGCTGCCTGATCCAGGATCTCTTGCGGCACAGCACCCTCCTTTCATTATTGGCATGTCTTGGCCTCATTTGGGCATATCTGGACTTTGGCGTGCAGGGAACGGGTTTCCTCTGACCCACAACATTGATTGGCTATCGAGACAACTGGAATTCGAGGCGGCGTCTCCTCAACAGAACCCAAACCTAGCCCACGCTCTCATTCACCCCCCAGCTCAGGCCGCCACGCCCTTCTCCACGCCCTTGCGGCGCAGGATCCCGGCGATACGCTAGGCCTTGTCGTCCAGAGACATGTCGGGCGTGATGCCCGCCTCGACGGCGAAGTTCTTGCGTATGGCGATGAGGCACGCCCCGGGCGCCTTGCTCACGATGGCCGCCTTGACCGTGTCTTAGTGCTCGTCTGGGATGGTGCCGCCGATGCAGAGGAAGCGCGGGGCTCGCCGCTGGTCCCGCGGCGCCCTGGCGTTGCTGCCGATCGGCTCGCTCGCCGCGTCCGCCTTGTCCAAGTTGCCCGCGAACGAGTCTGGCAGCTCCGTGGTCGCCGCGGCCAGGGAGAAGCAGCCGTGTACCACTGTTTTTCGTTTTGCCTCGTCTTATTTTAAGCCCCGCTTCTTGATGTCGACGCGCTATGGGGGATTGGTTCACTCACGCTCGTATTCTGGCTGCATACACGCACCGATCTTGTCGGCAAGCTCGACGTCGGTGCCGTAGCAGGCGAATGGAATTGGAGCCATATTGGTTGTTGTTGTGGTGGTGGTGGTGGTGGTGGTAGTGATGGGCTTGATTGCTAACTTTCGATGCTGCTATAAACCCGTAGTCGTTCTGATTCTGGTTTGTGAATGCTGTGATTATGACGGACTCGTAGAAAACATCTAGGCATTCAAGAGCAGGAAAGAATTGTTTATGTATAGACACATCGCTGTTTTCCACGGAGCCACCTGACATCGGATCTGACAGCCCCAAGTACTTTTCTGGGATCCGTCATCCCAGCCTTGCTAGAGGTGGACATGTAGAAGCTGAACGGCCGCCGGTTTCAACGTTGCCAAAAAGGCATCTTGCTTCTATTCGGACGAAGGCTACACTCGGTGTCCGCAGAAGCGATGGTAGATACAAGTGCCATCCATTCTAGGGCGAGCCTGATTCTTCCCATCCTAGGATGAACACAACTTGGCTTCTGCTCTTGAGGGTCGCGGAGAGGGATTCCGGGAAGGGCATCGGAGAAGACGATGGTGAAACATGCTGGTCAGGTGCCGCGCCGGCCGGCCTTCGCCAAGCCGAACCCCGATGTGTCGGACTTGGGACGGATGGGCATGCGGCGGGACGGAAACTACTTATAAATCTGCCTCATCAAAGAGCGAAGCTGAAGTCTTGTCCATCTGCCGAGGTGGTACGTTTCATCCACTGCGCCGGGTTCAACTGAACTGACATTTTGCCGGCGCCTTAACGAGAATGTAAGAGGCCAGTCATCCACTATCGTTCGGGATCTCGCATAGGAAACGAGTGACGCGAAGGTGTTGTCTACCTAGCCGTAGCCGGCGCAGGTCCTTTCGGTGTAAATAGTAGCGTAAATCGGATTACGGTTGGTTCGGCTCTTTTTATTCAAAATGAAGCAACGCATGGCCACCTCTAGAGAGTCCACTGCTACACAGATGCCATCCATCGTGATGCAGCCAGCCTCACTGTAGCCTTGGCCGGCTCGCATGTCTCCCGTATCGGAACCTCTTTAACCAATGGTTGGGGCCCGTTGCGCACCAAGCCCATTACATGATCGCTCTAGGCAGCAGGTGCGGGGTATGAGACTTAAACTGCCCGTTCCAGCACACTTGATGCGGATAGCTGTAGCACAAACATCTTCATTCGCTCACCAAGGGCAGTGATCGGCGGCGACTGCCCAACAACACCTTCGGCAAGGAGTCACACACGTCGAATAGCTGGTATGCCTGTACTACCCTAGACTGCTGCCTGTTGCCTGATGCCGCCTTTGCCACCTTACGCCCGCGACCGGATCATTTACTCCTGGGCACGACGTCTCCTCCTGTGTGCAACAGCTGAGGCAAGGAGGTGGTGACATGGCGTTACTATAGCTTTTATAAAACTGCCAGTTTCAATCTCCATTGTGCTTATGGAAAAAACTGCCATCGCTACAAACGCGACTCCCCTTGTATCACCAGTCTATTCTCGTAGTCACTTCCGGGTGTCACCATGTTTCGCCATTTACTGCTTCCACTCCACAGCCACCAAAAGGTGTTCCATGCCTGGCGCGAACTCAAGAGCGAGAAAGTCGCGGACCCCGGCTTCTCCATGGAGCAGGTCATCCGCGACGCGCACCCCAACCACCACCTCACGCGCCTGCCCAACACTTCCCTAGAGCTGCTCGAATATGCTAGCGCTGGCCACGCCACCGCCCGGCGCGTCACCGAGGGCGGCTTCCAGGCTGAGGTCTGGCGCGTGTACTGCCCGCCCTCCTCCCGCGTCGACGCCAAGGCCTCCTCCGCGCTCGACGAGGAGGCGGCGCTGGCGCGCTGGAACTACAGCTGGGACGGCACCGACTTCGTCGTCTACAAGGTGTGCTGGTCGTCCGGGGGCTGCTGGGCCTCGGCCTTCTTCATCCTGGCCCCGATGCCGCCCGGCCAGGCCGGGGCGGACAACGTGGTCGTGGGGGGCCACCATCGCAGGACCGACGCGCTGATCCTCGCCGTCGGCGACTACTCGCGCGAGCTGCACGACGAAATCCACGTCTTTGACGCCATGCGGTGGACCAAGTCCAAGAGCCTCTGGCGCAGCGTCCGGTCGGCCACGTGGGACGACGTGATCCTCGACCCGGCCGTCAAGGCGGGCATCATGGCCGACGTCGAGGGCTTCTTCGATAGCCGGGCCATGTACGCGCGGCTCAAGGTGCCGTGGAAGCGCGGCGTCATCCTGCACGGCGTGCCCGGCAACGGCAAGACCATGACCATCAAGGCCCTCATCAACTCGCTCGCGGCGCGCCGGGGCGAGAAGACGCCGCCCGTGCACGCCCTGTACGTCAAGTCGCTCGACAGCCGGAGGGGGTCCAAGAGCTCCATCAAGAGCATATTCGACATGGCGCGCCTCGTCGCCCCCTGCCTCCTCATCTTCGAGGACCTCGACAGTCTGGTGGCGGACGAGACCAAGGCTTACTTCCTCAACGAGGTCGACGGCCTCGAGTCCAACGACGGCATCCTCATGGTCGGGTCCACCAACCACATCGACCGCCTCGACCCCGCCGTCACCAAGCGGCCCAGCCGCTTCGATCGCAAGTACCACTACCAGCTGCCGCGGCACGTCGAGCGCGCCGAGTACGCGCGCTACTGGCGCAGGAAGTTTGAGGGCACCGACGACGTCGACTTCCCGGACGAGGCCTGCGAGATCATCGCCCAAATGACCGAGGGGTACAGCTTCGCCTACATGAAGGAGCTGTTCATCACCAGCCTGCTGGAGCTGGCTCGCGGCAAAACCGGCGAGGAGGAGGGGACCGTCGTCTCTGCCGAGGAGATGGCCGCTGCCAAGGCCGCCGAGAAACTGTACGCCGCCTCCGATGCCGAGCAGGCTGCCGCTCGGGCGGTCTCGGTGGCAACAGAGAGTGGCGAGCCGAAGGATTCAGGTGCGGGAAGTACTAACGAGGCCCCCGCCAAACGCACCATGACCGAGATCACGGTGCCCGAGTCCCTCCGCAGCAACCTTCTCCTGCGGATTATGAGGAAGCAGGCCGAGCTCCTGCTATCCCAAATCGACAGCGCGTCAGCCGAGGCGGTCGAAAAGGTGGCCGTGGGCAACAACAATCAGGTGCTAGGAACCCGCATGGCAGTCAAAATGCGCAAGTAATGGCCTTTCTCACCACTAGGCTCATCACCAGGCGTGCCCCGGGAGAATTACCAGAGAAAGGCGATGAAGCAACGACAGGCGGCGATCCCGGATCGGGGTTGGGTACTTGCCGGGAGCTAAATTTGTATCAAAGACGTAGCGATTCCGAACCAGGGTTTTCAAGGTGGTATTACCATGCATGTAATCTCTGCGGGCATTAAAAAACTGGCCGGTCAGGTGGAACAGGCCTGGGGCGTGGGGATATGCCGTGTCACGGATCGTCTTCTCCCATACTCAAGTTCGGTAGTTGGCCGGTTTACTCCGGTGGGCGGGCGCATATTAAGTCCAATATAACCCCAGGCTTGGCATTCTATATCCCGAGCCATCCTTGCACTTACACGGCCGATATGGCAGATGAGGGAAGCAGATATAAAGGTCCTAGGTCTTTCACGAGGGTTCTCTTTGGGCAACTCCCGAGCTGCTTTATCCTTTTGATCCCAAGCCGCACTTCGCTGTCTGAGCATAACGTGAAACCGTCCCTCTCCTCAGAGCGCCCCAAGATGCAGTTCCTCGCAGGTCTCCTGCTAACAGCAGCCGCTGTCCGGGCACACTGTAAGAGCCCGCACCCCCAGGCAGTCGAATCCCAACCGCGACGCTAAGCAATCCCCTCCCTCCCTCCCTCCAAGACACGTTCCCCCGCCTCGTCATCAACGGCCAGGCCGAGGCCGCCGACTGGTCCGTGACGCGGCAGACCAAGAACGCGCAGTCCAAGCAGGGCATCGAGAACCCGACCGTGGCCGACATACGCTGCTACCAGTCGCGCACGGCGCCAAACGTGGCGGCGGTGCCCGCGGGCGCGCGGGTCCACTACGTCTCGACGCAGCAGATCAACCACCCGGGCCCGACGCAGTACTACCTCGCCAGGGTGCCCGCGGGCCAGAGCGCCAAGACGTGGGACGGGTCCGGGGCCGTCTGGTTCCGCTTCTCCACCAGCGCCACGCCGACGGTGGACAAGAATAAGCAGCTGTTTTGGCCGGGGCAGAGTATGTCTTTTTTCTTCTTCTTCTTCTTTCGTGATCTGGAATTGGCGGGAAAAAGTTGAGTGAAACGGACTGAAATGCAAATCGGACGCACACACACAGACGAGTACAAGACCGTCGAGGCGACCATCCCACCCAGCACGCCAAGTGGCGAGTACCTGCTCCGGGTGGAACACATCGCCCTGCACATGGCCTCCCAGGCCAACAAGGCCCAGTTCTACCTGGCATGCTCCCAGATAAACGTCACGGGCGGGGGCAGCGGCAAGCCGGCGCCCCTGGTCGCCTTCCCGGGGGCCTACAAGAGCCAGGATCCCGGGATTCTAGTCAACCTCAACAACGTCGCCAGCCAGCCAGCCGGATACGTCGCCCCGGGGCCGGCGGTTTGGAAATCCTGAGCTTGGGGCGCACGAAGCAAGACCAAGGGAAACAAAGTGAACAAGGTCGGTGAATGTAACTGTGGTTTCCCCGCCGACTGCGAGGTCCCCACAACGAAGGCTATGGACAATAATACAAAGTCTTGAATGAAGGACATAAGTCACATGCCAAGCGCACCCTCCTGCTGCCTCTTGGGCCAGACATGCCGTGGAATCTGTCTACTTGAAATCTATCGCCCCGGCCCCATATATGGTCCACCTTCAAAAACTCGAAAATCCGCTTCGGGGGCGGCCGCTTCGAAGGCCTCGAATATTGCCATCTGTTGAGTCCATCTACTCCTCGGCCTCCTGGGCCATGGCGCCGCGAGGGGTACGGCGGCCTGTCCGTACAGTTTGTGTTAATTTTTGTAACTTGGCCGTGCATAACATGATCCTGGTGGAAGAGGGGAGACAGGGAGACGTACGGAGGTTCTGAACCGAAGGGCCGGGGATCGGGTAGCTGCTGAACTGTCCGTATAGGTTGAAGATGACTGTTGTTTTTACACAGCTGGGTCAGTTTCCGAGCATTTCCTACGCTTCCACCACCCATCAGAGAACCACTGCTTACTGCCGGGGTGGGTGGCGCTGTACAGGCTGCGGCCGGGGGTACCGCCCGAGAGCTTCTTGGAGCCGCCACTGCGAATCTTGAGGTTGAGGCACTGCGGGTAGGCCTGGGCGCCGTTCTGCTGGCCGGCGGCGTGCAGGGCGATGATCTCGTGGCGCAGAACGTAGTTGCCGGGTGCCAGGTCGCGCGGGATGGTCAGGTCCGACGCGAACTTGTTGCGGATCATCGTATCCGTCACCCAGTTGCCCGGGTTGCTGCCCGAGATGAGCGCGCCCTCAGTGATCTTAGTGAAGGACAGGCTACCGGCCGAGGCGGACGTGCACTCGCCTAGTAGATGGGTTGGTCAGTTCAGGTCATGCTTGGCGGGCGTGTGGTGCCTGGAGTGAGGGGGGAATGGGCTTACCGCTGCAGGGGGCCAGGTAGTTGAGCATAGGGCCGTGGTGAGAATCGGGCCAGGTGTCCCAGTAGATCTACGCCGGAGCGAGACGACATGTCAGTACTAAGGAGGCAGCAGATGGATTTGCAAGCGAGAGTCTCAGTCCCGTACCGTCAGGCGGTCGCCCGCGTTGGCCTCGATGTAGGTCTGGCCCGGGGTGGCGCTCTTGTGGCAGGCGATGTCGCTGGTTCCAAAGGCGCTGGGCTCTACGAAGCCGTTGTCCTGGTTCAGGGCCCTCCAGCCGGGGGTGTTCAGCCGCTGGTCGACCGGGAGGTAGAACCAGTTGGGGTTGGCGGTCTGGATCCGGCTGCCGCCGTTGACGCTGACGCTCGACACGTGGCCGTGCGCCGACGCGAGCTGCACCAGGGGCAGGGCGAAGACCGCTGCAAGCGAGACCGAGGAGTGCATGGCTCTGGTTTTGCGTGGGGTGGCTTTCTTAGGGAGGCTTGAAGCAAGTGGCAACGAGGGGCAGGTGACGGATATCCAAAGGTCTGGCTGGGCGAGGGAGGGTGGCCCGATGGTGAGGAGCAAACCTAGACTGGAGAGAAGAGAGGCATATCAAGCTCTCCTTATATATCGCATCTTCTATCCCATTCCTTTCACTTTCTTCTTTCGTCATGTGTCGGCCTCTTTTCGATGCTTGCCCCTGATCCCCCCCCCCCGGAGCCAAGTCAGCAGGCTCCTTGACTCTGTCGTCCGCCGGGCCTCGAGGCCGTGAGGCATGGTGTGACGGGAGTGGGGTTTTGGCGGCGGGCGCGAGTTGATGACGGCGCCGTTGGTGCAATTGCCGCATGGATCATGGATGCAGGTGGCGCGGGATGGCGGGCGTTCGTGTGCGCTGGCCAGCTCGGGCGTCTGCTCCATTGGGTCGGACCATTCGAGCGGTGGCCTGGCAGCCCAGGTCTGGCCATTGACGGAGAAAAGCGCCAGGGGTGTGTTGGAGGGGAGGATTGTGTGGTCCGGTGGCGTCCAGGCGTCCCCTCCCTCTCCCCGGCAGTCATGGTCCGTATTGCCAAATGCGGCAGGCCTAGGGGTGCTGGCTACCGGGCACAGTCCGGGGATGCGGGGATGCTGGCTTGGCCGCGCGCAGGGGTGACGGCTTATACAAAGCAACCTTGCGGCATCACACCCGCCGCAATTTCCGCAGTCGTGTGACGACCAACAGCGCTCTGGTGCGGCGAGGGGTGGGTGGGCGGCCAGGAGCTAGGCTTCTGGGCTGCCTGGGCCAGCTAGACAGCAGTGAGGCCTCGAGCCGAAGGGCGAGTCAGTGTAGCAGCCCGTTCTCGACGGGCACAACGTAATGCACCGCGCCTCGCAGGACTGGCAGCGAATGAGGAGCAATGAAGGCCAGACGAACCAGACGTCACCACCCAGCGACTGCTGGTCGCGACGGCAAGCGACGTGTTTCAGACTTGCTTGGCCAAGGCCGAAGGGTTGGACAGGTCGGCAACGCGCAGCAAAAGACGGACGGCGGGCCATCATACCAACTCCGGCCTCACGGGGCCTGCCTCCGCCCCTTCCAAGACCCATCGCTCGTGTCGATGCGATCAATAGTTCGTGCATGCGGTTGCTAAGAATACTCGCCTTGCTGCTGCCCACCCCATCGAGATATCGAAGAAGGCCTCCCGGGATTTCCGAGAGAGCTTTCGACATCTCACCGCCCTTGTCAGGATGCAGTTAAGAAGACCAAGATGGCTCTACTTGAATAGGACCGAGATATTTCCAAGCCCGTCTTAGACAAAGAAACTCCAGCACCGAGGGGAGGGTTGCGGCCCGTAGAGCCGTGAAGAAAGGTTAACTCTTGACCAATGTACACATGAACCTCACGCGTCTCCAAGAATGCCTGGCACGCAAGTTGAAAATTCTCTTGGGTCCCATGACGTGGGAACGCAAGGCGATGACGGGCTCAGCATTTAAGGCGGAATCATTGCTAGTTAAAGGTGATTTAAGCTTCATAACAACCAAGATAAAATTAACAGATATTACTTCCCCGACTAAATGTAAAGGGTAAAGGATTTCCAACCAGTGTGGCATGGCAAAATGAGTTTGAAAATACCAGGACACAGGCGGTAGGCTTGAAAGGGGTAAGTAAAATGTGATGCGAAAGGTTGTAAGGGTACAGGAAGGCGCAAGTGTTAAACCCGCCATAAAAGAACCAACCACGGCATGATCCTTTAACGCTCTTCATTATCAACATATTCATAGGAGTACATACGGGGCCTGAGGAAAGTTTCAACGGTCTGGAAACCAAAGCGAAGAAACTTAAATTTCACATGCAGGAGCCCGGAATAATATGCCTAAGCATTCACGGTGGCAATGGGGACTTTTGGCAAGGCCGATACCATGTCTGAAATGCCTTTTGGCCAGAGTTGGGAAATATCGAAATAAACAATGAGTTTAAAACGAGTAACCCTTAAAATTAACATATGACGGACAGGCTAACAAACGTAAATAACCTTTAGAAAAGGTTAAAACAACTCACAAGCGGCTAAGCAGAAAGGAGACATCTGCCGGGTGGTGTAACATTTTCTTAATCATCTCCTGCCCAGAAAATACCAAAATAACATCGCACTTAGGTTTAAATTATGTGTTATTGTTGGATTCCAAGTCGTAGCTTTCTTTTAACTTTTAAAGGAAGAATTTCAGCACCAAATCCTGCCGTATGCTGAACCCCCGGCTTTATCTCCATTAACAAATGATAAAGTCACCAGCCAGTCATATACTATCCCGCCACCTACTTTCCAGGCTTTACTTCCAGCTGGTGCTTGTGCGGGACGATAAATCACTATTGCTGCGATACAGTAGCCGTTTCTGTCGCGAAACGGACCGCTCCTGCGTTGTGTTTAGCACACAAGGATGCCGATCCTTGACCATACTGAACCCATCCCCGAAGCAGTAAAACAGGCAAACACGACCCATAAGCTTCCTCAAGGCTATTTCTGTCAAGCTAATGGACCGACAAGCCGACCTCACAGTCACTTTTGTCTGCCAAGTATGGAGTTGGATGCGACTCTTTGTGAATACGGTTGAGCGTCCCCTCCTCGCCCAACGCTACGTAACGAAGCAAAACGATGGGCCCAACCGGGATCGAACCAGCGACCTTCAGATATCTTGACTAGAGTTGCCGCTTCAGTCTGACGCTCTCCCAACCCAACTGAGCTATGTGCTCTCGTCTGATTGGCTGCTGGCCGGCGCTCATGATGGCGACGAGGCCGCTGGTGTTCGGCCCCACGACGGTGGGTCATTGGAGCTCCGTATTGGTCTCCATAGAATTGCCAAATATGTGTGGTAATACAATCGCAATCTTTAGCCGAGAGCGGACTTCCCATCCCTCGGCCGAGCTGCGGCGGGGCAAATTCCGTCTCTCCCCGCGACCACGCCCTGCCATCCTTCTCTGTCCTCCCTACAACACCAGTTCGGCTTCACCCACCAGACGTTGAGCCTACCATAAAAACCCGCCGCCCGCCCCTGCCCAGTATCCATCCCGCAATGACGGCAGAAACGACCAAGTTCCACGTCGGGCCGGTCCAGACCGAAGACGACGTCGCGCGGTGTCACCACTGCGCCGTCGAGGCCTTTGCGCGCCAGGCCCGCGACGGCATCTGGTGCGCCTTCAACCCGCGCTGGGACACACCCGACGGCGAGGCCCGCGGCGCCGCCCGCCTC